GCAGCAGCAGCAGCAGCAGCAGCAGCAGCAGCAGCAGCAGCAGCAGCAGCTTCACTCTACTGCAGAGGCAGACAAGGGGGCACCTCTGCTAATCCTGACTTCTCTTAGAAATCTAGACCTGTAGATCAAGATGGCATAAATTATTTCCTTCTGGGTTTCTTTGCACTATATCTAGAGCTGGGTTGCTGTTGCTTCACCTTAGACATTCTGATTGACCTGATGCTACCTGATCGTCCCAGTTCCACACCTCTGCAGCTGACAGAGCAATGGGCAATTCACTTTCTTCTGTTCTAGTTCTTGTTCTCTTCTGTCCTCTTTTGAAACATTTCCCATCCTGGCTGGGTTAAGTAGAGCTCCAACTGAATTGGGCCTGGAAAACAATAAGCAACCAGGGCAGATTTTTTAATATGGGTGTAGTACATGAAGACAATCATGCACAATAAGTAAAAAAGAATAGAGAAGAACTTGTATCATTATTGGTTTCCTTTTGGTAGCTTAGACTCTATTGTTGTGTTTATAAGACCATTCTTACTGTATCATTGAAAAAGGTTTTTTAAAAATTTTATGTGTGAGATTCATCTTAAATTTCCTTTGCATTGTAGAAAATCAGGATATAAATGATATAAACAAATAAATAAAATGAAACTTGACATCCAGAGTTTATCACCACCTAATAGAAAAATTAACTGTTTGTCTTCTTTCATATTCCTGCACACTAGTCACAAGTTGATTACTGCAGTAGGTTAAACATCAGTTCTCATAACCCAGAGCTTTAACACTCAACACTTCTGGAGGTCACATTCGAACAGACAGTTACTACTAAATGTTATTGTACTATAATTATCCAGAACTCTGTAAAAATGTTCCAAAAGAACAAAAAGAATCTTGGTTTCTATAATGATATTGTTACTATTGTTGTTCCTAGACACAAACATGTATTACTAAATATAAATCACATCTTATAAATATTTAGATAAATTACAATGGATTTTTAAGAACAATGGAACTTATTATTATTATTAGCTGAATGTTACATATAACATTCTTCAATAATTGACCAAATATTGAAAATAATATTCTCCCTCTCCCCACAGAAAAGGAAAGAAATTAATGTATTATGGCTCACTACAGTTGCAATCCTGCATATACAAATCTAGGAGTAAGTCTCATGGAAGTGAATGGGACTTTTCAATAGATATGTATAGGATAGGTCTTTTGAACAACCCCCAACCACACTCCCCAAAAAAGTTTATATGCTTTTGGAATGAGAGTTTCTTGACATCAAAGCAGTTCTCATTATAGTTAACTACACATCCATACACATCCATACATCCATACCTCATTATATATAACTATATAAGAATATTTTGTTCAACTTATTCTTCCAGATTCATATCTAACCTTCTGATTTTTATACTGATATATAGGTCATGGATGCATGGAATATGTAAAGAGCGCTTAGGATCACATGTGAATACAGAGGGCAAAAGAAGCTTTGTGTATGTATGGCAAACAAGTACAGATGTTAAAAAGTCAGAAGATAAGGCAGAAAGTCTTGAAAAGATGAAAACTCAATTGCTGGCAAATGACCTAAAGAAGGGATGGCTTAAAGCTTCTATAGACAAGCTCAAAACCAATAATTCCAAAGAATCCAGACAAAATATACTGGGATGGCTTCAGGAATCTCTGAAAAGATTGAAAGAGGATTCTTCTAAAGCATCAAAACACACCCTGGCACAATGGCTTAAAGGATCTGTGATAAATCTTCAAAAGGAAG